GTGCCTGGGGAGGCCAAAATAGGGTGTCTAGTACCCTGGTACTAGAATCACAGTCTCATTTCCCGATACCCTCTGTATAGGCAGGAGATGCAGATATGTGCAATTGTAAGAAATCTTACAGGAGCATTTATTAAACACGGCTGTCCAAAAGATCTTAGCCTGAGAGAAGATGGCTTTCAAGGAGAGCATAGGGACGATACAGTTTCCAATCACCATGCAGTTCCTGTCAATCACTGCCTGTGTCGTGCACCTAAATTGTAAATACGCTCTATTATGAAAACACTTCTTACAGCAACTCTGAAACACAGGCAGGTGGAGGCTCCTCTGGGGACACATGCATGCATTACAGTGGGGGTGGGGCGGTGGCAAGGCTTTCAGACACCAGGATGCCATTCTTCTCTTCAACTTTCCTCTGCATAAGGTCCACCCCAGTAGTCCTGAAGCAGAAAGACTCAGAAGGCCTCTCGTGGTGTGTGGCCTGACATGATTTTACATTCATGAAAAGTTACCTTGGCTGGAGAGCTTCAGGGATTGCATAGTGGCTAAGAATGCTTGCTGCTCCTGGCCTGGACTCCCGTTCCCATGACAACCGGTAACTCCAGCTTCCAGGGATCTGACACTATCTTCTGGCTTCTGTGGGTGACAGGCATACTAGGCGTACACATATGTAAGCAAACACTTCTTTTCCCTCACACGCAGAGCTAGGGTTAAAAACAAAGCAAAATGACTTGAAGCTAGTACAGGGACGCTCTACACAAGGAGTGTGTGGGGGGAGGTGAGGGAAGGGTAAAAGTGTAGTTGGGAGGGTGGGCCTGACCCCAGCACTCTAATGTAGTGTGTGTGTGGTGACGTCACAGGGAAACCCACTAGTGTGGACAGGTAATGTGCAGTAATGACTACTGCTGTAAATAAAGCTGGTAATTAAAGCCGGGCGAGCTGACTCACACCTTTAATCCCAGCACTCGGGAAGCAGAGGCTGGTGGGATCACTGGGTTCAAGGCCAGCCTGGTCTACAGATGGGTTAGTCCCAAAACAGCAGGGTTACACAGTTAGAAACCCTGTTTCAAAAAACAAGCAAAAACGAAAACAACAACAACAAAACTAATAATGAACAATGCCATCTTATAAAGCAGTTAATTTTATAATCTCATTTTTCCCCTCTTCCTCAAGTACCACTTGTGGTTGTGGGTGAGGAAACGGATAGCGCAACCAGGAAAGGTGGTCTTAGGGTCTAAGTCCTGGGATCCCTCTACACCAAGAAGCTTGTAAGCTACTGTGACAGAGATACAGACCTCTGCGGGCCCTGGGCCAGTGGGAAGAAGTCTTGTTCCGCTGGGAGAGCGTTACTCGCGATGGCCACCAGATGGCAGAGGGCACCCGCGGCTGGAAGCAGACAGGCCCAGGCAGCGACCTTGGGAAAGTCAGCCACACCCGGCTTTGTAAACGCCCTTTTGGGTGTTTGAAAGTGTTAGAGGTGAGGGTACTGCCTAAAATAAGCAGCGACCCGGGAGGGCACCCGCGGCAGAGCTCCATGTGATGCGGGGCCATCTGGGGGCCAAACTCTTCCCTTGGAGAGCTGCGTGCGCGTGCTCCATGCAAGGGATGGCCGGGACAGAAGGGTCGTGTGTGGCTCGAGAGGTGGCTCACTAGCATTCGGGAAGTGAAGCAGGAGGATTACCCTGAGTTTGAGGACAGCCGGTGTGAGACCTTGTCTCAAACACTGAGAGACAGAGGAGAAGCAGGAAGATCAGGAGTTCAAAGACATCTTCAGCTACACAGAGTGCAACCTGATACACAAACACACGCACGCACACACACGCACACAGACACACACACACACACACACACACACACACACACACACAAGACCCCAAAGTAAAATAAGGTAAAAAAATATTTTTAAAAAAAGGATGAAAAAAAACCGAAAGGAGAAAGCAAATCGAAGAGACGGTGCCTGCCACTTCCCGCTTGCCAACCGGAATCGTCGCCCCGGCTTGAGCTCAGGAGAAATGAAGCCCACCTTGGGTTCACTCAGGCGGGCAAGACCGGGAGCGCGCGAGCCAGGCCTCGGCGCAAGAGGGAAGGGATCCGGCCCCCACACGGACCGCAGCAGGTGGACCGATCGCTTGGCTTGGAATCCTCCGAGGCCGACCTGCCGAGCTTGTCTGAAAATCCAAATTTCAGACCTGTGCGTGGGAGGTGGGCATGGGGGTTGCGGAGGGGTCCTTGGGTTGCAGCAGCATAGGCTGGGTTTTGCGGCTTATCTTCTTCCCCTCCTTAAACTGCGATTTTAAAAAATCTCCTGGTTGTTCAGAAATCTCTACCGGGTGAAAGCGGAATTTGTGAAATCCGGGCGCAGCGGAGTGGAGGACAGTCTGTGGCGCGTCCCAGGAGGCAGAAGGGAGCAACTTCCAAAAGCGTAAAAAGCCAGGACTTTTTTGTCCCTTCCGGCGGCTGAGTGTGGGTCGAGCACCGGGGATGTTTCCATTCGCTAGCATTTCCAAGACACCTGCAGGGACTCAGCCCCGCATCTCTTCCCTCTCTGATGTCTTCTCTCCATCTCCCCACCCCCACCCCAATTTGAGAAAGTCCGAGAGCCTGCTTTCTTTATTCCGGCTTTAAATTTAATTAGAAAGGAGGAAACTGGGTGGGACTAACAGGACATTTGGAACCTCAGCATCCCTTGAGGTTTCGGGCATAAATTGCTGCAGTGACTCGGCTCCAACCGCAGTCCTAATACAGGTCGAGAGGAAGGCCAACTAACGAGCAGTTTTGCCCTCGGCCCCTAAATTCTTTTCGAATTCTTGCCGCCTTTCCCAGTTTTCTTTCCAGGCATCGGAAGCTCCCTACCACGCCGGGGTAGCTACCCCCCACCACAGTAGAGAAAACCTTCACCCACTGAGAAGGAACCCGCACCGGGACGAGGGAGGGAGGTCCTGCTCCGAATTGCACCCACAGCCAAAAAAAAAAAAAAAAAAAAAAAAAAAAAGAAAGAAAGTTAATTAATACGGGGATTGTTGGCTTGCTTTTTGTACCTTTTCCTTTTTATCTCGAAAAAACAGACTGTTTGGCGATGAAGACATATTTCCAACCACGAATCGTTTTTGGTTTTGTGCCCATTTTTCCTCTTTCGTTGTAGTTTGTTTAATTAAGTAGTTTTGTTTGTGACAAGAGCTGAGGACAAGCGAACTTGGGCGAGTCAGCAGACCCCCCAAGCCTGAGTCTCCGCCTTGCGCGGGAAGCGGCCTGCGCCCGCGCAAAGGCGCGCAGGGCTCGGGAGGGGAATGTAAACAAGCCGACCGGGTACCCAGCCCTTGATCTTTATTTAAATGGAGTCTTGTTTATCGGTGTCATCCTAGGAGGATTAATTAGATACATCTCTTCACAATTTGGTGTCTGACACTCCATCTTAGGAATGCCTTATCACAAGGTGTTAATTGGGGCCACTCAGCCATTTACGTTTCTATTAAACACTGTGAGGGACTTTTCACAAGTACTAGATTCTTTTTACTGTACGGTGCAAAAATATACAAGACTTGAAATAGAATAGGGCCCGAGTCCTCTTTATCCCGGGGTGTGATTAGCATTTTCGGGCTTTTCTGAAGGACAGGATGGCATGACACCGTTTGATATTCCGGGTACCCAACCGCTGGACGTGGATGGAAGTTAGTTCTGACTAGGTTGGGCCAACTATGTGTCTCTCTCCCAAATCTGTTACCCACGCAGATACATATTAAAAAACAAATCTCCAGAAAGTACACACACATACTTGGCACTCGGGTGACAGTCGGGGTGGCTTTGCCAAAGAGTTTTGGAGCATGCATTCTTGGAAATGCGGAGCTAGTAGGTACCCAAGTTCATGGCGGTGCAGAGAGGGCTCTGGCCCCAGAAGTTTGGAGGACAGGAGAGTACAGTTTAGGTACATCTTCTGGCCGTCTTAATTGGGCGCAGAAGGGGAGGAGGGTCCGGCTGATAGCTTGCCTCCCCACAGCTAATCCTCTTAGCAGCTGCATTTCCGTGCTCTGCAGTTAGAATGACCCTCCCAGCCAGACCTTTACCCCAGGGTGGGATGGGGGCTCCAAGGGCTTGCAAGCTGGGTTTTAAGCCGTCTGCAGATAGCGCGGCGGGACGTCTGGCAGGAGGCGGGGAGGACCCTCTTCTAACTGCCTGGTCTTCCGCACACCTAGGGTTCAGCCAGGGCATGTGCGGCCTTCGTCGTCCGGGGTTACTAACTAAAGCGGAGCTAAGAGCGAGGTGCATCGCTGTCCAGATGCTGTTTGCAGGACCGCAGTGCACAAGAAAAAGTGCAATAGTCCTTTGTGACTGCCGCACCCAGTGTCAGCCTGCGCACAAGCCCTGAGTCCCGGATGAAATTTAGCAGAGGGTAAGGCAACCGAGGACAGCAGCTGCACCAACCGCGGAAAACCGCAGATGGGCGCAAGTCTCAGGGTGCCCGAACATCGCGCCCTGCGGTGCTTAAGAGACCCGGAACCCGTAGGCGCTCGAATGGCCGCGGGGGTTCCCAAGGAGCTTACATGGGTCTAGGTTGCCTAAAGTAAACCCAGGAAAGGAACTAAATGACTAAGGGTCAGGGCGGAGGGTGGGGAGTTAGGATTAAACCTGCAGAGTTAAATCTTACATCCCCAGGGCAAATGCTCCCTTCTCCACCCCCTCCCCAAGCCAACACCCATTGTCCACACTTACTAGTGGGGCGAGGAAGCAGATCCCATTCATCTTTGCGGTGGGGGGAGATAAACAGAAGCACCCTCTGCCCACCCCTCATGACCACAGTATCTAGAAGATTCTAGAGCAATCTATGGAGGGGCAAGGTGTGTGTGTGTGTGTGTGAGAGAGAGAGAGAGAGAGAGAGAGAGAGAGAGAGGAGAGACAGACAGACAGAAACACAGAGACAGAGAAATTGTTCACCCTGAAAAAGTGCAGAAGGAAACAAAATTAGATAAATAAAATCCATAGCACAGAAGACAGAACTGTACCCGTTCCCTTATTGAATAACATTTATTAAAAATGACTTACGACTGTACATAAAAATTCAGAATCTCTAAAAAGCCTACAGGAGCCGTGGCGTCAGACTGTAATTTCTTCACATTTACTGAAGGGAGAAGTGGGGACGACCAAGGAAGGGAGGATTAAACAGGGTGGCTTTTCCTTAAGCGTGGTTGAGCGAGTACACAGGCCGCTGAGTACTAACTAAGTGGACAGAATCTCCCCAAGATACTGAGGCCCCTCTTAACCCTGCAGTTGTGTTTCTGCAAATTCTTTACAAAGCCAAAGCACCAATTTCACATTGTTTTATCTCTGATACCTAGGCAGCTGAATTTGTACAATATACTCCAGATTACTCTACAGTGTCTAAACACACAACTGTACACTGAAAATTCTCCCTTCGTCTCTGACCATTCTGGCTTCCACAGGTCATCCCAGCAACACAGGCCCATCCCTATGACAAACGGTTTACTCCAAAATCCTGCAAAGAATTATAGGCAGCTAAGACTAGCTAGTCACTTCCCCGTTAGTATTTCCCCCTTGACTCTCAGGCCCAGACTCTTTAGCCACAGGCAGAAAATACCAATGAAGAGCCCACGGTTCAAACTCAAGGCCCATCCCTTCTCTTCTTGAAGCAAAAATACCTTAACACTCTGGGCTGCGTTTGCTTAAAGATTTACAAGTAAAAATGGGAGCCAAAGTTTTTTGCTTTTTAAAACTCATTTGATAGCTCCTGGTACTCAATCTTCATAGCCTGCCTTTTCTGAATGTTTTTTGTTTCCATAAGTAGATCCAGCACCTTGAACAACCTTTGAATTTTAAAACACTTTCGAGTCCTCCATTAACTTTATTTTACAAAGGGGGGGGCTGCTAGGTTTGCTTCAGTTAGTTACCTGCTGAAATGGCAAAGCTTTGGCACCTTCTCTCAGAGAATTGCACAAAACAGGACACATCAGGGGTGGAAGGTAAAAGTCTTTTTGGTAACCTAGGCAAAGAAAACAAGGAAACACCACCAGGTCCACCTGGAAACCATTAGGGGTTCAAATAACTCCTTAGGGGGTTGTGTAGAAAGCATAGTATGCCCCCATGCCTTTTGAGGTGTCTTTACTGTACTCTTCAGAGTTAATGTCCTCACACTTTATGGGGGGCGAGTTTCCATTGCTGGAGGTGCTTGGAGACATGCGCTTTCTCTTGCAAGCACTGTTGTACACCCCCGAATCGTTGGAGTCTAGAGACTTGATGGGAGGGGGGGTTTCTATCCAGGAGGAGCCAATTTCTTCTTTGACTTTTTCCTTGGCAAGCTGATCTTCTGGGAACACAGGGGGGCTCATTCTGGATGTCCACGGTAGGCCAGTTGCCATCTTCCTCTGATAAGTGCCTCGGCCTCCCCACCCTGCCATTGCAGGGAAGGTTGGGTCAGGGTAATACCCCAGGGCGTGGGATGTCTGCAGGGGTAAGGACTTTATACCGTATGGGAGCAAGGTACTGGAAGTGTACTCAGATTCATAGGAACCAATGTCTAGCTTGTTGGTCACAGGCTGCTGGACAGGCGTGACAAGCCACCGCTGGGGAGGATTGGTCACCTCTTCGCTCTGTTGGGGTGAAAGGAGGCCGTTGGTCTGTGGCACGGTTCTCTCACCATTGTAATATCGGGCTTGAGGTAAAGTGTTGACAAAAGGCTCCGGGAAGAAGTTTTGAACGCCGTACCGACCTCCAGGGACAATCTGATGGGATCTAGGAGAATCCGTGGGAGATGGAGTTAACCTGTCATTTTCTGAAGCCGTGTACATGCTACAATATAAAGAGAGACACTTAAAAAAAAACAAGACAACCCTCATGTTATCCCAAGACAAACTGCCTCCCAGAAACTAGAGCCTGGCTCTGTGGACTGTCTGAGCTGAGCAGGCTGGTATGTTGCACAAGAGGGTAGACTAGATTCCCACTCCTTAAAAGGAAGTTTCCTCTCAGGGGTCAGGTGTTTGCTATGGGGAAATCAGATCTGTGGCTATAGATCTTTTGGTAGAGGGCTAGCCTTGTCGGCTCGAAGGCCTGGTTCTGTGGACAAACCTGCATTAACCAGGGATGCTGGCACAGGCCTGTAATCCCAGCACAGGGAGGCGGAGACAGGAAATCAGAAGTAAAAGGCTGTTGGAGATACAGACTGTCGAGTTTGAGGCCACCCTGTGTTATATGTGCCTCTGTCTCAAAATAAATCTAGAAAAATCTACTTTTACAAGTGTTCAAACACAGAGGACTAAGAGCAACCCTCCTTCATCAAAGCAATGGACAGAATTCTGCAGAGGCAACTCAACAGACTCATCTCTATCCCGCAAAGCAGGGCCTTGGTAGCCAATGTTGTGAAAAACACATCCTTTGGTGGTTTTTCCTCATATAAGGGGGGGGGGCTGCTAGTGAGGGATTTTAAAGTTGGATCAGGAGCTGGAGGGCCAAGTGGCCGACAACCACCTGTAACTCCAGGTCTGCTTGACACCTCTGTCTTGCTGGTGCCCATTTCATGAGCACATATCCATACACAGACATAAACACACACAATTGAAAATAAAGCATTAAAAAGTAGCTGGAGAAAATGAAAAAAAAACTGTACACAAATAATGCGGATTCTCTGCTTAAGTGTAGAAAAGGAACTTCATGTTTAAGCCATAGACACTTTAGAATAACAAAATCTGTTTTTAAAAAAATCTAAAGCAGGATTTGCTCAAGGCCAGGACATGGAAAAATAGGTCTGGGTGAATATAGCTCAACAGTAGAGAGATTGCCTTACATGCACAAAGCTCTGAGTTTAATACCAAGGGCACATTGTGTGTGCGTGTGTGTATCAGCAAAAATGAACACAAAAACTAGGTTTAGAAAATCCCAACTATAGGCCGGGCGTTGGTGGTGCACGCCTTTTAATCCCAGCACTCGGGAGGCAGGCGGGTCTCTGTGAGTTCGAGGCCAGCCTGGTCTACAGAGCTAGTTCCAGGACAGCCTCCAAAAAACAATACAGAGAAACCCTGTCTGGAAAAACAAAAAAAACAAAAAAACAAAAAAAACAATCCCAACTATAAAATGTCATACTCAATATGTCCTCATGAAAATGATGACTCATTTCCTGTTCAAAGATGACGAAGGAAATGGGCTTGAAGACGAAGCTTAATTGACAGAATGGTTGTCTAGTACACTCGAAGCTTGGGTGTGGTAGCCCATGCCTGTGAGCTCGGCACGAGGGAGATGGAGGCAAGAAGACCTTAAGTTCAAGTTCCTCTCAACTCCACAGCAAATTGCAGGCAGCCTGGGACATGAGACTGTCTAAAAGAGAGACGGCCTTCTGGGTATGAAGGAAAGCAGTACTTACGAATCATAGTTGTCCCGGAAGCCTTTGGCAAAGGGGTTATGGTCGATCTTTAGCTGAGTAATCTAGAGAGGGGAGAAGAATAGTTAACTGAGTGCTTTATCTTGCTAGATAGACCTGGCTGAGAGGCTGCTGCCCAGCGGGGGCCACTCACATCGGTGTTTTGGTAGGCTGTCACTGCAATGAACTGCGTCTCTGAGAAGGTGAAGGTCTGGGTCTTGGAAGGCTCATTCAAGTCCTCCACGCCATCCTCTGTCACCTCCACAATGTGCAGCCGTGGCTGGTATTTGTGCAAAGACTGCAGCACTATCATCTGGAAATGAAACCCAAGAGACACTTTCAAAGGTCGAAGGAGCAGATATTGTGACAAATGGGACTTCTGATTGCTCCCTGCCTAAATTATCACTAGACTTTCAAAGCTTGAACGAGCAGACTTTAATGAACTGCATATTTTGAAATGAGACAGATTGATCCCTACCAGAATCATCACGAGATTTCTCCCCCCCCCTCGTTTTGTGTTATATGAGGAAAAACCCGGAAGGATGTGTTTTTCACAACATTGAATAGCAAGGCCCTCCTTGCTTTCTGAAATAGAGTTGAGATTTTGTTATCATTTTTAAGATTCTCAGCATTTAACACTTTGCAACCTAAAGTCATAATTCTGAACCTGGAGTGGTAGAGCGCACCAAAATCCCAGCATCAGAACGGAGAGATGAGGAGGATCAGTAGTTCAAGGCTAGCCTGGGCTACATATACAAGTCTCACTCCCCAAGGTAAAACACCCAAAACAAAAACTGAGTTTATGTGTATTTGATAAACAGTCTTTCCTTTTGGTTCCAAGCCCCCCAAATTATATGTCTACGCCTAGTAGTAAGAAGGTATAATAGCAACAAAGGCAAATTAATTAATTATTTAAAAGTGAGCGAAGTCAAAACCGCAAGCCCTGAATTAAGCACAGTAACAAAGGCATGGCGTCTCCAAGGGGCTCCAGCCAGAACATTCCCACCCGCTCCTGCAGTCTCTACCTGCGTGTTGTTGTTGTTTGCGCCTTTGTTATTGGTGAGCTTTAACTTCCCAAAGGAAATCTCCTGCCTCATCCAGTGGGAACCAGTGTTAGGAGACTCTGGGTGAACGTACATTTTGTTGCCTAAGAGGAAAATGAAAGGAAACATTAGCATTTACACAGACCGTCTGTTTGTTAACTAGACTTGGGTTTGCAGCGGCAGCCTCCTCCTGGGAGAGCTGCTTCCAGAAAGCACTGGACCCCAGCGGGACTCCAGGCACCCCCTCCAGAGCCAGGGGGCTTCCAGCCTTTCCTAATCAAGGCTCTGCTATCACCAGCCTCCAAATTGAAGACAGAGAGGGCTCCGGGTTCCCGAATGTTAATCCGAGGCCTTCAAAAGCGGGAGGGATGTGTAGTCACTGTTAAAAGATGGCCTGGGCTTTCTCAAGAGAATATTAAAACGCCAGGAGCTTTCCCCCAAACTCAGAACCTCATTGGACTACTCTTTCCTCAAACATAGCAGGGCCAAGGTGAAGGTGATTCTTGCTAACGCTGGGGGTGAGGTAGTTGATTTAAATGCGGCTGTTCCAGCACCGGGGCTCTGATTTCTTCCCGGCTCAGGCTTCCTGTCTCCTCACCCTGCATATTATTGTCGGCTTTGCCACACGTCACCCACTTGCCCCCCTGGAAGCGCCAGTGGTTAGGATCGGCCAGAACCACCTCCACGAACACGTTGTAGTGGGCGGTGGGATTGAGTCCGTTTATGTTGAAGCTCAAGAAAGGGAACATGCGCCTGTGCAAACAACAGAACCGGGGGAAAAGATTTTAGTCCGGACGTTCAGGACACGCCCTGCCCCCCCCCACGCAAGAGAAGTCTGCACTAAACAAAACAACAAATAGGTGATATGGCCCGAGATTACGAAAATGGCTTTGAATTGACAATTTTTTTCCTACCTGGAATATCGAAAATTATTTTTAAAGGCACAGGAGACACAAAACATTAAGCAGGCGCGTGCCCACTTACACTACACTACACACACACACACACACACACACACACACACACACACACACAGTTTTGAGTTCCTGTCTCCCAGAACCCACTCCTCACTTCCTCCAGATCCCCCAGAAGTAGCTGTTGGCAGTTCGAAGGTGTACCGGAACTTTCTTGTACGGTTCCCCGCAAGCCCCCAAACATTGGCTTCAGAAAATGTCTACCCACCCACCAGCTCAAACCCAACTCCTTCTGCTCTTCTCACCGAAGTGCCCACAGAAGTACTTGAAACGACCGCATTTCAAATACCTGCGCTCAGGCCGCAGCCCAGCTCCAACCCTCTCCCCCACCCTCCGCTCCTCGCCTGCAAGCTGCAAACTCTAAACTGCCAGCTGCAAACCCAGGAGCCTTCGGTTCCGGTAGATCCTCCCTCAAGGGTCCATTCCCAAATTTCCATCTCCGCCTCCTCCCTGTCAGTCCCGGTGAGGGTTAACTAGAGGGGAGAGTAACTTTGGCACCGGGCCCAAGCCACAGGTGTGCGTGTGGATGGAAAGGTTCGCGACTTTGGAGATGCTGTGTCCCCTTTACGCGAGTGCAGAAAGCGTGCACAACTCCCTCAACCCCGCACCCAGGGGCCTCCCCACGCTGCGCTCACCTGCCCTGTTTGGTGATGATCATCTCAGTTTGGTGACGGTGGAATTTGAGCCATAGGGGTCGGTTGCACAGGTAGACGTGGGCGCGGAAGCCAGAGCCGGGCATCCCGAGGCCCCCCAGTCCTCCGCAAGAGCCGGCCGCAGCAGGTCCGGCGTACGGCCCGTAGAGCGGAGAGCCCTGGCCGTAGGGATAGGCTCCAGGACCGGCGGCCCCGCCGCCGCTGCCACTGGCGCCGCTCCCCGAGCCCGTGGCGGGGCCGAACTGCGCCCTCGCGGGCGGGCACACGGAGGCGGGGAATCCACCGGGGGGCAGCATGGAGCCGTAGGGGTAGCGCGCGCCATTGGAAGCGGGGTACACGGATCCGTGGGCCGCTCCGGCCGCCGCCTGGTACTGGAAGAGCGAGCAGGGCGCGGCGAGCTCGGAGCTCTGCGGTCCCGGCGACGGGAGGTAGTAGCGCTCGGAGCTCAGGCTGTCCATGGAGTAGCGCGCGGTGGCCGCGGCGGTGGCGGCTGAGGGCAACTCCTCCTCAGCGCACGGGGAACCCTTGCGGCCGTCCGGGGGCCCCGGCTTGGCCACCGCCGAGGTGCTGCCAAAGGTGTCCCCGGCGTCTGCGTCACTGAGCATGGCCGCGGGGGGCCCCGCGCCGGCGCTTGCTGGTTCTGAGCTCCCCGCCTGGCAGGGGAGATTGCCCGGAAACTTCTTGGACGCTTTGTCTAAGTCCAGCCTCTGGGGCGAGGGAGCAGCACCGGGGAGGAGGCTGACGCTCCCGCCACCTCCCCCTCCTCCGCCACCTCCTCCTCGAGCACTCTCCAGCGAGTAGAAGTGCGCGCCCGGCAGGTTCACGGAGCTCACCAGGAGCTGCTCTCCTAACTGCATGCTTTTGCGAATCGCAGACGGCCGCCGGCTGCCTCCTCGCCTCCCGCGGCCTGGTTATAAAGGCCGGCTGGGGGAGCCAGCGCCCTCTTCCGAGGGGAAGGTAACGTCCCCTTCCTCCCTCGCCCGGGCTACCCACCTGCGGACCTGCGGGGCGGCTTCAGCGCGCGCCCCGAATCCAGCGTCCTTTCCGCAAGGGAACAAACCCCGGATGGAAACCGAGCAATCAGAGGCTCCCTTTCCTTCGTCCGTCCTGGTCTAGCTTCTCAGGACCCCTACACTCACACCAGGGAAGAGGGAGGCTTCAGCTCGGAGTTCCCATTTAGTAACCAGCCCGCGCCTCGCTGCTGGCTCTGCGGTGCTAAACCCTAGTCCTACTTGACCGCTTGGAAACTTGCGAGCTGTCGCTGGCTGCTTATATGCGTGCCGCCAGGGAGGGGCTTCGCAGCCCCACGGCTAGGGGACTTTGCTATTGGCTGACAGAGGTGACACTAATTCAATTAAGCATTTATTAATTGGATCGAGTTGCCTGCAAGTTTCTTTTCCCCTCAGCCTGTTTGGCTGTTATTGTTGGTCTGGTGCTCTTTAAGTTTCTTTAGGGGACCTATATCCCACTGTGAGACTCAGTCCGGGTGTCTATATGGCGCTGGAGTTCAGGAGAAACGGGTTTGAGGTCTGTGAACCTGCTCTGCCTTAGGCAAGGAGTCATTCCTGCGCTCGGGGCTGGTTTGGCAGAGGCAGGTCCTAGGGGCCGGAGCAGAGGTCTCTCTCTGAACGTTCCCTGCTCGCTGGAAGGCGCAGGTCCCCGAGGGTGCAAATCTGGGGGCGGGTTGGAGAGAGACCCAAAGCGTCTGCGTCAGACGCCGTAACATCAAAGCGCACCTTCCCTCTGACTTCCTGGCCTTCCACACACAGGAACCGCGTTTTGTTCTGTTCCATCTTTTTACCTAAAGGGTTGGTGGAGAGAAACCTCGCGCTCTGCGTTTGGGATCCCAGGGATACCGAAAGGTTCCCGCGTCTGAATCAGAAGCGGCGGGCTACTGAAGACAAGAGGCAGACGGAGCGAGCCAAGCGCTCGCCCTCCCTCCCATCCACCCTAACAAACCGGCTTTCTGGAGGACATCACTTCCATTGCCTACAATTAAAAAAAAAAAAGCTCTGCTCGGTTTTCCTGAACTCTGGATGTTTTCTAACTCCCTGAATCCCCGCTTTCGCCAACGTCTTTGGTGGAGACGGACACTAAGACACAAAGGTTCCCTAGCAGCTGTGCAGTTAAGATTCCCTGCGCCTCTCCTCTGCGGCACAATACAGAAGGCAGAATAATTAGTGAAATAATCAGTTTGATATTGAATTAAGCTCCTTTTCCCAGCTGCCTGCCCACCCCCCTCCTCGCGTTTCCGCAAACAGTCAAGGACGGTGCCGTCATATTTTATTGTTTTATTATTACAGAAGTAGGACACGTTTCGTTGCAGATAAGAAGCCCGAACATTCTCCTTTAGAAAGCAATTATGGACGCCCGCAGCAATCGCTCCAGGAGCGCATTTTCCGGGCGAGACGCGGTGACTCTGCTCCCCGTAACCGAACGCGATCACACGGGAAACTTTTTGCCTAAAACAGATGAGGTGGCCGCGGGATCAGCTAAGCGCCCAGACCCCAGCAGTAGAACCGCGCGAGGCTCTCCAACGTGGGTCCAAAGCCCGCACAGCACGAACATCCGCACGCCGGGGCTAGAGAGTGGAGCGGTCCTTCACGGTCTCGGATGCTGTGTGTGGGCTTTGAGGCGGTGCTGTTGTGAATCTTGGGCGCTCACAGGTTTTCAGCGCCAAGTCACAGGCTAGCGAGTTGGAGCGGTAGCCTCGTCAATTTTGGTTCAGAGAGCCCGGGAGCTGGCACCCTGCTGACTCAGCCTCTGAGATCCCAGAATTTGGTCTCAGTTCGGGTCACTTTACTACTGTTTTTTTTTTTTTTTGATGGAGAAAAATCTTAGACGTTAATTTTTATTCCCTTCGAAGAGTGTGAGATATTCAACGTGGAGATTCCACAAGGGGGATGCGAGCTCCAGGAATGAGCCTTACACGCTGGCGACTCAGCCGCGAGTTATCGAATGCTCGTTCTGAGTTCATGGTAGCCTTGACCCAAGCTGCAGGATGTCTGAGGGGAAAGTAGGTGTGAGACTGAATCTCACGTTATCTGCAGATGGGGTGGCTGAAGGTATATGTCAGATTTGCTCTTTAACACAGCCAGAAGCAGGCTTCCGAGTCCCCTCAAAACCGCTTTGAAGAGACCGGGGAAACGCTAGCGTGGCACAGTGCCACCACGGGCAACGGGCACCGTTCAGACCCACTCTGGCGCAAGTAACTCAGACCAGCTGTCCCTGCGACCACATCAGAACCGGGTGCACTCTATCCTACCCCTGGAGCAAGCGCATGAAGGCGCATGGGTTCATCCCGAATGCCACCAAATTATGAACTTAACTCCTTGCAATTTAATCTGTGCAACTAGGGTTCGAATGGATTCCTGGGACCCCACCCTCCTCAGCAGATATACCCCTTTATTTTACTTCCGACACATCTTACAGATAGAGAAATCAAACAAAAGTCAAAATAATAAGAGCGCTAGGAAACTCTTTGGGGGGCACGGGATTTGGGGTCATGAGGAACATATTAATAACATTATTATTGTTATGTATTATTGTGTCTCACAATCATGTGATGATTTCCCCCTTGAAATGGTGAAAAGCATCATTTTGCCTAAAGATGGTTTTTCTGGCTTCATCGAGACAGAAAGTTTAAATATTGCTGTGTTAATGACTTATATTTTATTGTTATTACTTATGGACTACAGTGGTCTACAGTGCAGGAGCACTGTGGAGAGCAAATCTACGATTCCTACTTGGAATGGGCTTTTGGTTTTGTTTTGTATTTTTTTTTCTGGCTCAGTAATACTCATAAGTAGAGAGAGGTAAAAATCAATGTTCTCTCGTGTCTCAGCCACACTTTAAAATCCAAGTCCTCTTTTCTAGAAAGAAGCAGAGAAAACAGGGCAAAGGTTGTGATGTTGGGTGTCGGGCACACATCAGGCAGCACCTTGCTCTGACTGGGCTGGCAAATAGCAGAACCGTCCTCTCTGCTGTTTGATTTCAATTACACCCTGAGCTTCATGAACTCCAAATGAGACATTTATTGGGAGGTGCCTGGTTTTCTGTGGTTTAACTGACAGTCATATATTCAACAAAAACATCAACACTGGGGAGGAGACCCCTGGTAATACCAGCCCCCAGCAGTGGCCCGGCTAACTCAAAGACCTCACTCTGCAGCCTCACGAGGAGCAAGCAGGAGCCTCTAGAGGCTGAAGGAAGCTCAGGGCCAAGCCTGGGTGTGAGCATATGAAAGACCTCACACTAATTTGTCCCAAACAATACCAACTTTGTGCCACTAGCTCCAGGTGATGACACTGACTTGGCCTGTTATCGCCTCTTCTTTTTTCTTCTCCTTAAAGGTAACCAATAACAATGCTTGAGATTTTAAAAAGTAAAACTAAGAAGCTTTGAGACCACAGCAATTTCATGCATCACATGCACACTTGTACACACACACATTTCAAAGAATTATAGATTAGTGCAACGATATATGGTTTAGAGCTCATCCACTCCCCCCACCCCACAAACAACTAAGGGGGCCCATATAAATGCCCCAATAAATCCTATTATTTTCACCTCCCACTAAAAATGTGTTATCAAAACACGGTCCGTGTTATTCAAACACTTTGTAAATTCTGAACAGACATGCTGCATGCTCCCCTTTTAACCCTAGGAAAACATTCCAACATTAACGGGTCACCAGCACTTTGCCTGGACTCTGGGAAAATGTCAATGGGTTTTTTGTGGCAACTTGGTTCTTTTACTATTTATCTATGGGCCTCTCTTTGTTGACGTTACATTTTATTTCGCCGTCTCAGGTTCACTGTTTGGCCCTTTGTTCTCTGATGGCCAAGTCTGCTACCTCTCTGTGTTTCCCAAAGGAGAGGAGCTTTCTCCACTGCAAGCTGGCTTGCTTTCCTTCCTTCCTCTCCTGGCCCACCTTCTTCCTTCTAGAAAATGCCCCATCAAATAAACATTTTGACAAGGACAAGTAATCCTTGAGAGATCTCACAAACACTTTAGTAAGAATGGGTGTAAGTCTTTTCCTATTGGGACCTTGAAATAATTGGGTTACTTTGCTTAAAAACAAGACATTACTATACAGACTGGGACAGTCCATTCATATATATACACATATATATGTATATATATGTGTGTGTATATATATTTTATATAATACCATACATGCTGCATGATACATTATATGATTATATAATGCATTTATAGTCCATACAAATTATGTTATATAACATATAGTATAATATTATATATATATAATTAAAATGGAGCCAGAGGCCATGAATTTGAGAGGAGGATACCTGGGAGGGATTGGAGGGAGGAGCGGGTAAGAAGAAAATGATATAATCATATTTAATTCCAAAAAATGAAACACCAGACACACAACTGTGTGTGGCAAAGAAATATGGTAAGCTTACTTATCTTTTTCAAACAAGAATGACTAAATTAAGCCAGGTGGTGGTGGAGCACACCTTTAATCCCAGCACTCAAGAGGCAGAGGCAGGCTGATCTCTGTGAGTTCGAGACCAGCCTGGTCTACAAGAGCTAGTACCAGGACAGCCTCCAAAGCCACAGAGAAACCCAGTCTTGAAACCCCTCCCCACAAAAAACCAACCAAGTTAGATTGCTGTCTTAGTGCATTTGCAGCTCCTTGTTAAGATATGAGCAGGAAAGAGAACACTGGAATGAAAGTTAACATATATGCTAAGAGTTGCTTATTACAAATAATCCCTTTTCCTATACAGCAAGTCAAGAATCTCTGGCAGGAGGCCTATAGTTTTCATTTATGTTTCTTATGAACTTTTTTTTAACCTGCAAGTGAATTTCAAGTTGCCGCTTTATTATCACATCTGTTTCCTTCATCCTATTTTGGGAGAACATTTATTCACACGAACAAGAAAAGCCAAATGGGGCCAAAGCCGAAATGCTCTCAGGAAATGCATTATTGGATGGTTTGGTTAACCATTGCAACTCTGACGTGTTGGCCTTGTGTGGAGTTCCAGCTGTCCTCACCCTCAAGCCACCTGGCTCTTGCCAGATGCTCATCTGTCCAGGCAGAGAAAGTGGCCACTCAGGCTGAGCTAGACAAGCTCGTTAGCACAGCTCCCAAACAGGCACTAAGCTCTGTAGACACAAGACCAAAGTGGAATTATGGTGGAATTTTTTTTGTATGTAAAAGAACAAGAAAACAGACCCTTTTAAATTAATAGACTAGACATTTTCACCCTACTTAGACTTAAAAAGATTTTTAAAAATTTAGACATTTTCTACCCTCAAAGACTATATATGTATTTCTGCATAGCCTTTTTTTCATGTTTTTTAATGTTAACATTTCCTACAGGAAAAATGGAGGGGAAAATATTGCTGAAATTGTTTTTATAGGATTGATTGCTATGAGGAGCTGGGAAGTGGTGGCGCACACCTTTAATTCTAGCACTTGGGAGGCTGAGGCAGGAGGATCTCGGTGAGTTCCAGACACACACAGAGAAACCCTGTCTTACAAACAAACAAACAACCCCCATACCTAAGAGGAATTGTTGCCTCCAGGTAGGAATAGCATTCTAAGTGTAAATGGATTGCACATCCCTGGTAAAATATGGGAAGAGTGCTTCCTCAGAAGCCTCTCCCTTGACACAGGTGCTCAGCAATGTAGCACACCAGGTATCCACTCCTAACCTATTGAACCAAATCCCCAAAATGACATGGGCAGAGAGAAATCTTTATGCAGGCCCTGGTGAGAGAGCGAGAGAGCGAGAGAAGGGAAGCCTGTGTTGGAGGCACACACTGGCCAGCAATAGCAGCCCCTCAGATAACCAAGGAATACAGAGAGAGACAGGACAGGGAAGAAAGGGTTCACAAGGTGGGGAAAAAAACAGACACAAAGATTGGTCTTTTATCGTTCTCCCCTTCTAGACACTTAAGACAAAGCAACACTCTTGGCACCAAGGTGTTTGCGGCTCTTCCTTCTCAGAGCACCAAGAGCAACGGAAAGGCTCGGTCTGTCTGTGTGTCTGTCTAT